GCCACACCATCTGGGACAATTCCCAGCCTTTATAAGGGATATCAAAAAGTCCCAAGTGGCTCTTCATTCCGTGTCATGTTGGTCCAGTTGCTGGTTCCATTCTGAACTTGAGATTCCAGTCTCTTATCTGTTCCCAGTTCCTGTCCTGGTTTCTTAACCTTTTCTGCCAGATCTCCCTAATGTGTACATCAGCACTCCTCAAACTTTAATGTTCATGTGAACCCCTGGGGATATTGTTAGAATGCAGATTATGATTTAGGAGGTGTGGGGTGGGGCCTGAGGTTTTGTATTTTAAAGAAGCACCCCAGGCAATCAATGATTTTTTTAGAAGTCAGTGCCATAGAGACTAAAAAGTTCAACTGAAACCTTAATGTAAAGCCTTCCCCAGCTGACTCAATCTCATTTATTTCTCATTCATTCTCCCCTTAAAATCCTTATTCAAGGCAAACTGTCTCTCAAACAGACCCAGAATATCCCCTTCTCTTTACTCTGGTTCCACTTACAAATTCCACCCACTCCATAATAATTTGTGATGCCTACATACACTCATTGTCACTCTACCAAGTACACGAACTCCTGGAAGCCACAGTGCTGTGCACATAGCTGGTGGGAAGAGACTTTATCTCCACTGTCTTTGGTCCTGTCGAGTCTGCCTGTTCTCCCAAATTCTACCAAGTCATTGCCCCCTCATATTCAAATCCCACAGAAAGTCCACTTTCTGGAAGAATGGAAAATGTGACTTGCTGGACTGAAATAGAACGAGAAGTGACACTCCTTTCCTGACACATACGAAAGGACTTTGAGTCACACTCCAATTCTCTTCGGAAAATGGAATCCCTGAGGACAAGGACTTTGTATTATATTTGTTCTATGTTATTTTCATAAGTCAAAGGCATCTCATGCTCACCATTAAATAAAAAGCTAAGTAAATGTCTAAATATTTTTTTGTGATCTGCTGGAAGGTGACACTAAGAGTGTGGAGGGAAAGAGACATTACAGCCAATTAGTTGAAATGACATAAAAATTCTCTAATTGGTTTTTTGAAACAGCTTGCTCCCAGAAAATATTAGGTGTTGAACCTCAATATATCTCCACTCCTAAAATATCATTAGAACAAGTCTCTAGGGCTGTGAACACATAAGGCTAACACCAGCCCTGACAAATATCTACCAGTATCAGTTTAACTTACATGGGAAGAAACACCCATGGCCGAGTTGGATTTAAGAAGCGAGACCGACTCAACATAGAGGCATATCTAAAGAAATAACAGAAACCACATCCAGAAGTCCTCTTTGTGAAGCAAAGCTCTGGACCAAACTTCTTACCACAAAAACAAGATCCATCACAATCTCCCCCAAACCTGCCTCTAGCTGCACTTCACATTGCTCTTTCCCCACTCCCTCTCTTCCAATCTAGACGGCCTTTCTGGACTTGGTAGCTGTCCCCTGCCCAATGCCATGCTCTTTCCTTTATGCTTGTGCCCCAGGAACATTCTATTTTCTCTGCTCAAAAGGTTCTGCCAAACACTTAACCTTTGAGATCAAATGTCATCTTCTCTGGAGAAAAGGTAGTTGCTTTGTCCTAGAGAGGAAATGGGGTCTAAGTCGTGACTTTTATTTAAAGAAGCCCCAGTTTATTTTTATTTAAATAATACTCAAGGAGCCGAAACCGGTTTGGCTCAGTGGATAGAGCGTCAGCCTGCGGACTGAAGGGTCCCAGGTTCGATTCCAGTCAAGGGCATGTACCTTGGTTGCGGGCACATCCCCAGTAGGGGGTGTGCAAGAGGCAACTGATCAATGATTCTCTCTCATCGATGTTTCTAACTCTCTATCCCTCTCTCTTCCTCTCTGTAAAAAATCAATAAAATATATATATATATTTTTTAATTAAATAAATAAATAAGTAATACTCAAGGAACTTTCAGAAGGTTAAAAGGCTCAAGGATATCAGGTTTAATATAATATCATAGCCAGGTGCTTGCTGTTGCTGCCTCTGTTTCAAAATTCTCAAGATGATCCTGGGCAGTTCAACGCTTCGCTAATTTTTCTAGTTCAAGAGTGGTGAACTCCTTTGAGTTTTGGCACGATTCATATAACCTATCCCTCCAGTAATGACCACAAAAAAACAATGCCAGAAGCAATCATAGTCATTGAGAGGAAGAGAGGTAAATTATCAGAGAAAAAAGCCACCACAGCAATTTTGAGAAGCAAAATTATTAATCCAGTATAGAACAAACAGAATTATTTGCAGAATCTATGTGAAAACCTTTTTTGTGTTATTTTTTGAGACCAAGTCCTCTAACTAGGAGCTGAGTAGTTGGGATCATGATGGATCTTATAATAAAATGTATCTTCAGGTTATTTTTCTCAAGCCTTTGCAGTGCCTGAAAACTGGTAGATGTTTGATAAATGTGTTTCCAGTAAATGTATGAGTTGCTGATGCACTTGTGTGAGTAGACCCTTTTGCCTATTGATCCAAGGTCAATTGCCCTTCTGACTTTATTGGGCTTTCATAAAGTAAAATCACAGTAAAAATAAAATTAAATTAAAATTTCTCTCAGTCACAACAATAATAGTTATAGCAATACCAGCTAATACTAATTGAGCACTTACTATGTGCCAAATATTATGAAGTCTTAACATGAATAATTTTGTTTAACTTCACAAATTATTCCCACTTTACAGACAAAGAGCTTGAAGCTTAAGACACCAAATAACTTGCCAAGGTAATAAATGAGAAAGCCAGGATTTAATCATAGAGTCCATATACTGCATTAATATACAGTGAGTGGCCAGATTATGATGATCTCTGAACGCATAATCTGGCCACTCAGTGTATATCCTATATAATGCTATCTAATAAAGAGAGAATATGCAAACTGACCGTCACTCCATCACAAAGATGCTGCACCCACAGTTGAAGCCAAGTCCCATAAGGAGCCTTAACGAGCAATCAGAAGGAACCTGAGGCTACGCCCTTCTCTGCCCCAATGGGTCTTCATGGGGGACCTCAGGCTGTGCCCCCAACCCACAAGGGCTTGACAGGGGACCTCAGGCCACGCCCCCCACCCTGGTGTCAGGCTGGGGGACCTCAGGCCTCACTCCCCACCCCAGAGCCAGGCCAGGGGACCTGAGGCCATGCCCCCTACCCCGTGGGACTTGACAGGGGACTTCAAGGTGCACCCCCAGTGCTGGGTTGGAGGAACTTAGGCCAGGGTGAGACTGGCCGGATCTGGATCTAGCCCAATGGGGGTGAGCTGGCCGGGTCTGGGTCTCATGTGATTTTGAGGTGCATGTGGGTGACTCTGGGTCTCATGGTGTGCCCCAGACTCTGATCGGAGGAAGGTTTTCATATGCATTTTACTAATTTTCTTTTATCTCTGACACTTCTATTATAGAGAAAGGGCAAATAGCAATATTAAATTATTTCCTCTAATTAATCCCCTTTTAATGTACACAAATTTCATGCAGCGGGTCACTAGTAAAAGGCTAATATGCAAATTGTCCCCTTGACCAGGAGTTCTACCAGCAGGCAGGCCGGCCAACTGCCCATGTCCCCTCCCTCTGGCCAGGCTGGCCGGACCCCACCCATGCTCGAATTCATGCACCTGGCCTTTATATATATATACTGAGTGGCCAGATTATTATGCGTTCAGAGATCATAATAATCTGACCACTAAGTGTATACTGTTGTCAACTAATCAACACCAACTAGTCAACACCATGGTTATTGACTCATTACTGGTGATGCTGATCTCCACTGAGAAGCTCTTCAACCTCTCCACGGCTGGCTGAGAGGAGCACAGGTCCTTTGGACCTTACGGAAGGAGCCTATCGACTATTTCAATATTGTAACCTCCCACTGGAAATTTCCATGACAACGCAGTTGGAGGCTTTCTTGCTGAGCCCCCGGCATGGTGATAGTGCAAGTTCTTTTATTCCTATGGACCCTGAGAAAAACAAACCTTCAATGGCAGCATCTGCTGGCGACCACTTCCTGTGATGTCCCTGCGAAGGAGCTGGTTCCACAGAAGTCTTGAAGCTACACCTTGTAATGTATTTATAAATTGTTGGCTAACGATCTAAGCTCCAATTAATAGTACCTCCTCAATAGAGCCTTTCCTGGCACCCTGTCCACTCTGTGATTTTTTCCACACCTTAATTCCTCCGTATTTTGACAGCACATTTCTCACTCAGGACCTAAGAGGAAAATTTGCTGTAACACGTGGCGAGCATTCAGTAAATAATTGCATCAAAATGGCAACTCGTGTCATGTTGAGGTCCAGTGAGAAAAGATCCATTTTTCTGGAAAAGAGCTGAGTTAAGAATACATCTGGCTCCTGATTTAATTTCTCCCGGTAGAGGGAATGAGGGTGGCCTGGCAAAGCCACAGGAAAGCACGTGTGTGTTGTGCTTCTGGTTTTTCCCAGGGGCAGTTACTGAAGGTTTGAGGCATGAGTCCGGTGCCTATTTATCCTCACTGGTGTCCCTATTCAAAAAGGCAGTGGGAAGGCTCAGTGGGACAGCTTACACCCAGACACCCTGCGCCTCCGGGTGCATCTCATTCAGAGACAGACCCCCTTTTAGAGCAACCTTAACATGTTATTTGAATGTATTGGAAAAGATGACAAAATAGATGTGAGTTCCATGTGGATCCGTGAGCATAGCACCAGGAAGATATGCAGTACCTCCACCCATGAACTACCTGCCTCTTAAGGGAGAAGCCAGAGGTGTCTGTGAAAGCCCTCTGAGCGGTGAGCCGGGCTGCCGGAGGAGCCAGGCGCTGGGCAGTGATGGAAGTGTCCAGCAGGGGGCTGGCATTCTCTGTCTATAAGTAGCCCCGGTTCCTCTTCAGAGCCTCGGCTCAGCAGAGCTGCTGTTCGCTGGGGAAGCCAGTGACGAGCGAAGCATCCTGCCTATGGGATGGGAGGCTTGCTCAGTGCCGTTTTTTTCTACCCACTTCAAACCTTCAGGGTCCAAGTATCAGGGAAGGCAGGAAATGCCGAGTGAAAACAGCAGCCCAAAAGTTCTCAGTTAACCGCAGCGAGGGAGGCTCAGCCTGGAAGGGGGGTAGAAAGAGTTGATGCAGAGAGAGTTTCATGCTGAGCCCTGTTTGGACTGAATTTATGACTGAATTCATGTGAAGATCAGAGCAGTACCGGCATCAACATAGTGACAGGGTTTGGATGCCATGGTCTGCATGCACTCAGAGTGTTTTTAGTAAAGAAGAGAAGGAGCCTAGCAGAGATTTTGTCCTCAGCTTCCCCCACCTGCTACATCCAAAGTTAAGGAGCGGCAGCTGAGGACACCTGTCCGGTGGGCAAGCACCTAGGATGGCTCTCAGCGATTGCTGGCTCCAGAGCGTGTCCTGCAACTTCTCCAATCACAGTCTGGAGCTCCCCGTGAGCGAGGACTGGTTCCACCCGGGGGTCCTCTATGTCATCCCTGCCATCTACGGGGTCATCATCCTGATAGGCCTCGTGGGGAACATCACCCTGATCAAGATCTTCTGCACCGTGAAATCCATGCGCAACGTGCCGAACCTCTTCATCTCCAGCCTGGCTTTGGGAGACCTGCTCCTGCTGGTGACCTGCGCTCCCGTGGATGCCAGCCGGTACCTGGCCGACAGATGGCTGTTTGGTAGGGTCGGCTGCAAGCTGATCCCCTTTATACAGCTCACCTCGGTGGGGGTGTCTGTCTTCACCCTCACGGCTCTCTCCGCAGACAGGTAAGTCCGGGGGGGGGGGGGGGGGGGAACAGTTGCATGCTCTCCGAGGGGGGTGGCTGCCTCAGTGAACCAGCTACCACGGCTGGGACAGGCAGAGCTGTTTGCAGCAAAGGAAGTTTTGCTCAAACTCAGATTCCCTACCGGGCATGCTTTTTTTGTGCTGGGGATTACTTCTGGAGTTTTACCTGTTGGTTTAAGAAAGAAAAGGGAATGGATGGCAAAAAAAAAAAAAAAAAAGGGAGGGGGGATAAAGAAAAATAATTAGCTTAAGATGGAGGTGCACTTTCTGGACACAAACCCATTGAGCGTGGCTTTTCCCTAACTTCTCCCCCCCCCCCTGCCCCGGGCAAAATTAATTGTCCTCTAAGAAAAACCAATCACAACGAATAGGGTCTCAACCCCAGGCAAATGCTTCTTAGAAGCCATTGGAAATCTTCAGAAAAGCCCCACTGCATTTCGAATTCAAAATCTTTCAGAAATGACCAACCGGGGGAAATGAGGGACGTTCCCTTACAATTCATTTTCCTCAGTTGAACTTTTCTCACAGCTGAGTTTGTATTTGGCTTTCTGTAACTGAACAGTTTGCGTGCTGGTTTTGCTTTTGTTTTTTTCTAACTAGTGAAATGAAGCATTCTTGGATTTTTTTTTTCTTGAGGAAGCTCCATTCAAGTCTGAGTTTGAATTTTAATATCTTTGATGATGTCCTTCCATATACATTTCATTTCGAGTGAAATGTTTGGGGTGGGGAGTCAGTACAAAAATCTTTTCCAATTATTCTGGGAAATATGCATATTTGTGAACTGCATTGCTTGTGTGAACCTACTGCTTAACAACGTCTATGTATTCATTCTTAAAAGTTTTGAATGCCTGTTTGAATGAACTGTTTGAATGAACTCCCTCTTTGAAGACCTGTTTGAATTAACCGGTCAGGAAATACCTGCAGGGTGCTCACATAAATTGCTGAGTGCATGTCATGTGTTTCTGAGCTCGAGAAACTGGACAAGTTAATGAATAGATTCCAGACGCCTCGTAGACCAGATGGTCAGATTAAGAAAAATTGGCAGAGTGAACCAAAGACTAGAACTTTTTATTTTCAAATCCGCTGTCTGTGATGGTGTTAAAGGTACCTAAGGATTTGAACGTGTACCGGGAAAGGTACAGAAGCAGCTCTTGAAAATGTGTGCTCCAAGGAAAATGCCCCACATTGTAATACATGTGGCGCTGGCTTCTCATTTTGCAGAGGAACAAATAGTCCTCAGGTGATCTGGCTTTGAGTAATGGGCAAATAAGATAATGCTATCAGTGTTTGTAGACATGTGTTTATACTCAGCCGCCTGGAGTACACTGCTCGGCACACACCACGTTTTCAAAGATTGAAAACTAACAGCCCAGAAATGAGGTTTGCACATCGTACCGGCTGGATGGGTCCCTCCATTCCCGCTCCTCACCTCCAGCCTTCCATGACCCTGAACGTTTGCCCACAAGGTACTAATGGCCACAGGTAGTTTCAAGTATTGATCCAGGGCAGGCAAACTTTGGAGCCGGCAGAGGGTCTGGGCTCGTTACCAACAGCCGAGGACACCTCAAGAGGAGGGGATTTTCTTGATGGGAAGATGAGATTTTTGTTTCTGAGTTGTGAGTGCAGTGGTACAGATGACGTTTACTGTCTCTTTGGGGTGGAGGTGGTTGGTGGGTAGGGTGGAAAGTGAGGGCGTGGGATGTGAAGATGTAGCTGCACAGAATCCCTCCCCAGAGTTTCAAAGCAGACCAAATTCACTATCAGCAAAAGAGCGCTTTCAAAGCTGGGTTGCACGCTTTGTCAGCTCTGTTGTATTTTCAGTGAGTTTAGAGTTCGTTACTGTGCATCCTTCCCAAGTCATTACTCTGAGCTTTCCTACAACTAACTTTTTGTGTTTTGCTGCGGCTTAAAAAGGCTGATGGATCATCTGAATCACAGGTAGTGCATCTACCCTAGTTCAACAAGCATAGGGATTGAGCTACTTAAATAACATGAGTGTACTTACCTAATGATTTCATTTTAAAAAATATATATTTTATTGATTTTTTACAGAGAGGAAAGGAGAGGGATAGATAGTTAGAAACATCGATGAGAGAGAATCATCCATCAGCTGCCTCCTGCCCACCTTCCATTGGGGATGTGCCCGCAACCCAGGTACATGCCCTTGACCGGAATCGAACCTGGGACCCTTCGGTCTGAAAGCCAATGTTCTACCCACTGAGCCAAACTGGCTAGGGCTATTGGTTTCATTTTTAAAAGATGTTGGAGCTTTATAACAACCTCATGAGGTTAGCAGGGCAAATATATATCTCCACACATACACAATATCTATTTTTTCTCAGAAAGGTATAATTTACATACAGTAAACTGAACAAGTGTACAGTTCGATATATTTGTACACATGTCTATACAACAACATAACCACAACCCAGATGAAGGTATGGAGCAGTCCCAGCACCTCGGAGTTTCTTCTATGCTCCTTTCCATGTAATACCCACCTCTATAAAAAAAATACCCACCTCTATAAAGAGACAATCACTATTCTGAGTTTAATTATCATAGATTATTTTTGCCAGTTCTTTAATCTGATGTAAATGGAATCACACTTCTTTTTTTTAATATATTTTTATTGATTTTGTACAGAGAGGAAGGGAGAGAGATAATTAGAAACATCAATGAGAGAGAGTCACTGATCAGCTGCCTCTTGCACACCCCCTACTGGGGATATGCCCGCAACCAAGGTACATGCCCTTGACCGGAATCGAACCCGGGACCTTTCAGTCCCCAAGCCGACGCTCTATCCATTGAGCCAAACCGGTTTCGGTGGAATCACACTTCTTATGCTTATCATTATGTTTGTGATAGTCATCAATCTTGGTGCACAGAGCAGTGGTTTGTGATTTTTAATCATCATGTAGTATTCCATTGTATTGAATATATCTCAACTTATTTATCCATTCTAATGTTGATGGACATTGGGTTGTTTCCAGTTTAGAGCTGGTAATAACCTGCTCTGGATATTCTTCTTCATGCCTTCTGAGGGATATAAGTGTTTATTTCCCTTGGGTATATACCTAGGAGTGGAATAGCTAGATCATAAGAGTCATATACTTAGTAAATATTGTCAAAGAGTTTTCTAAATTTCTAGTCTGCAGTGAATAGATTAGTAAAATGGGTGAACCAGAAGACCCCCCCAAACCTTATGATCATCACAGTCATTGGGGAGCTTAAAAATGTACAGATTCTTACCCCCCACCCTACATCTACTGAATCAGGCCTTCTGAGGTGTGAACAGACACTAATAATCATCCATCCCTGCTCCCTGTAGGTTGACCAGCAATGTCGTTACTTTTATCCCAACCTCCCTTCTGCAGCCCTCCAGATGAACTTGAGTCTTTGTTAACATGAAAAGAGTAACATTTTTCTAGAAAAGTCTCTACTGCTGCCACTGTGTCAAAGGGAGACTTCAAAGCAGTCCCAGAAACCAGAATTCTGGTTTTCGTATGGCCAACCAATTGCAGATTTGCACTCAAATTCTATATTAGTCCCTGCCCTCTCTCACCTTCCTTGCTTTCTTTTCTTTACATACACACTGATGTCCTCATACACGGGGGTTATACTGAACTCCTGGCTCTGCTTCCTTGCTTATGCTGTGTCTCACGCACTCTCAAGAACGTGTTTTCCTCTCCTAAATAGAAGATTCCACTCCCCATCCCATGCAATGTATGCTTGGAATGGGCATTGGTAGCACTGCACTTTAGGCCTTTTTCTGCCATTCTTTCCTCTAGGAGGGAGTCAGACCAAGTCATTTAACTCTCTGACCTTAGTTGAATTATCCATAAAATAGTAGAGTCTAGCTAGATTACTTCAAAGATCCCTCCAAATTTTAAAATCTTATGAGGTTTTTTAATCTTTCATTTTGCCTATCAGTTGGAATCTGGCTTAAGCCTCTTCCTTTAAGCCACATGTGTCAAACACAAGGCCCTCGGGCCAAATCCGTCCCGCCAAGCCTCGCAATGTGGCCCGCACCGCGCTGTCATCACTACACTCCGCTGCGTTTCCATCGCAATGACAGTTTATGACTGTTCAGTAAACCATTCGGCCCGCGATTTAGGCTGGATTTTAGATTTTGGCCCCTTCTCTGATTGAGTTCGACACCCCTACTTTAAGCCCTAAATTGGACAATTCTAGCCCAGATTTTCCTAACCCTCTTCTAAATGTGAGACTTATTATCTGAGACATAAATTATCTTGTGATGTCTTTCACCTTTCTGTTTTGAAATATTTCACTAATTTGTCTTTTTTAGCCTCTTATATATTCACTGCTTTAACTTTTCAAGTAGATTATTAAGAATGTTGAGGACAGGGATTTCTTATACAATATATTTTGTATCTTCCACAGCGCCTCACACAGTTCCTTGTACTAAGTGGGTGGTCAATATTTATCAATTAAAATTGTGGTTCATTAATGCATACTTTTTCTTCTCATTCTTATTATTCTCCATTTTTTGGAATTTATCTGAAAGCATGCTTTTAAATATGTATCATGCAGTCACCTGCTTCTTATTTGTTCCTCTCTATTAAGCTCTCATTATTTGGGTAAATGAGAGAAAAGCTATTCTTTGCGAGTCAGTGAATAGATTCTGGGAATAAATAGATAATTGGATAGATGGAATGAGAAGTAGATGGGGAGAAGATGGATGATGGATGAGTGGATAAGTGGATGGGCAGATGGTGGACAGATGGCTGGATAGATAGTTGAATGGTTGGATGGATAGATGGGTGTATTTTTTACTTAATGATCTTTCCTACTAGATACCCATCTCTGTACTAGGTGCCTCAGTATTGTGTGATGGAATTTTAGACCTGAATTGGACCCTAAGCAGGAAAAGGGTAAGTAGAGTTTGTGTTTTCTTTTCCAGGAAGCATAAAGGTTAAAGCTGGATTTAAGGTTGGCAGCCTATACTAGTAATGCCCAAGTT